GCAAAAAAGTCAATTTTCAACTGTCAATATTTCGAAAACAGTTGAACTTAGGTATTGGAAAGACCCCGCACACATCTTATGGAATTTTGGTGCCCGGTCAAATTTGATGAAATTTTGGTATGTTGTTTTTCTTGAGGTTTTGATCAAAAGTGTTCATGGGCACAAATGATATGATTAGTTTTTGAGATATAGGGTGTTTAAAAAGTTGAATATTCGATTTTAATTATGTGCTCCCCACTATTTTTTGGGGTTTGGACAAAAATGATTGAGATGAAACAATATTTTTACATAAATAAATTGTTGATTTCATAAACTGCATACCTAAACGATTTTGTACACCAGGGAGTACCAAACGTTTTTCTTTCTTTTGTCCCAATTAATGTCGGAATACTACATAAAACGATTTTATGTAGGGGTAATAGGTACTTTTGAAATATTCTATATTTTATTTATAGAAAATTGTTATTATTTGAAAGATCATTGCAGTTTCCAGTTATATTCGACTTTGCCAAATACAGGGTGTCTACTTTAAAGTTGGCTACTGCGTATAAAAAAACTTAACTCTTTGTGATTTTTCAGAAAATATTATTGACAAAATTTATCTGCCCTATTAAAAAATGCTTTTGACTCTATTAGAATTGGAGTCAATCATATAAAGTATCTCAAAAATTGAAATCATCATTTACGAAATCCCATGCAACGATTGCCAAAAAGTCTATATTGGACAAACATCACATTTTCAAAACCGATCGAATGGCCACAAATATGATAAAATTAACAAAACTGCCTTGAGCAAACACAAAGAGCAAGAATCTCACACTTTTGATTTTTCCAAAACAAAAGTTTCAAAAACCGAGAACAACCAAAATAAACGTGAATTTCTAGAGATGATCTATATAAAAAAGAATGAGAATGCAATCAATGATAAAACAGACATAAAATACCTGAGGATAATCTATTTTAACCTTCCCTTAGTCGCGCGTGTATCTGAGAGATACATGCCTATTATTTTTGCAAATAAATCAAAAAGGAACAACCCTATAATATTATGGCTTGTAGTAGTCCTTAGGTACCCTATACTAATCACTTTCCCAAAATTATATGGTCGTACCTCTATTTGAGAATTTGGAATTTCCAGAAAACTAGGGGTGCGCTCGGCTTTGTGCCTGACTGATACAATGCGACTTTTCTTATTACCAGCGGTGCTCCTCAATTGTAACTGTCTTCTTGGTATTTTTTTCATATAAATATTATGCTACAAGAGGCTGTTCATCTTAGGTGAAGATGGAACTCGATGAGATAAAATTCCTCCCAAGCTGACTCGGAAGAGACTACATAATATGGTAAAGTTGCCGGGCGTTGTTGGCCAAACTGCAACGACTGCGAAAACAGAATCCAACTTCCGGAATCTCTTTTTCAGTAAAAAGTGATTGTTGAGTACACGAATAAATACATAGAAATTGTAAAACCGAAATTCATCAGATGGTTCAATTTTTTTATCAATGATTTAGTACATGTATCTCTGTGATACAGCGCGACTAATGATGTTATAAAAACTCGCGCGCCTAATGGAGGGTTAACTTAATTAACTAGACTTATTCATCAACTATTTTTGAAATTATTAAAAAGGAAAAAAAAACCTATGACGCGGCAACACAATAAAAGGAAGAATTCCATATTGTAAACATGCATCGAGTACAGTCGTTTGAAAGACATCAATATGAAGACGACAAAATGAACTTTTGTTACGATTTTAAAATATACGTGTCGTCCTTTTGTTCTTGTAAAGTTAATTTTGTTTATCGTAATTACCTATTATAAGTGTCCAATTTTTGATTAAAACGAATGGTAAGTCGAGAAAAATTCAATAAATTCTAAGATGTAATTTGATTTTTATGTATGTTATTTTGAATTGAGAACAGTGATAAATTTAATGAGGTTTTAAAATTCTATGTAATCGTAGTCTATAAGAAAAAATATTCATAACAGCTTGTTCCTCATTGAATGACCTTATTACCATACAGTTAACAAATGGATTTACCAAACGGTTGTCAGACCCATTGTCACATACGCCTCGTTGGTATAGTAGCCAAAGACTGCAAATTACTGCACAGGACAGTGTACGAAAAGTACAAAGGCTAATCTATCTAGAAATATCAGGGGCTATATCATCCTGCCCCACTGCAGCGTTAGAGGCACTGCTGAACATGCCTCCTCTTCACCTATGTGAAAAAGAGGCAATAATAGATGCCTATAGACTATTCCAGACAAAAAGATTTAAACCTGGTGATCTGAATCGCCACTTACGCATCCTTCAGTCTATAAAGCTCGAGTGCCAAAGTAAACTAACACATCATTATGATAACATTACTGGAATTGGACATTCTATGTGAAGTGGTTGTAAAAGAACGCCAATCATAGATGAACGCATCAAAGCTACCACAAGCGGACAACGCATCACTGTGGCACACGAATGATTCGAAGCTAACGGGACGCATCAAAACATTCTGCCGCCCAATCTAGCCATATCCCGGAAATCTGACCAATCAAATTCGATGTGGCTATTTTGAGCGGCATAATGTTACTACATGGGCTAGATCAGGGGTCAGAATGTCGGGACGGCCTGTTGGACTTGTCCGTTAGAAGTGCCGCATATTTTGTCGCTCATTGTGCTCTATTGAAATTTATGCGAAGACATTTTAATATTTATTCATGATGAAGATGGACACGATAAAACTACCCGCAATGTAAGTGAAAACACGTATCGCGCAAAAGGAAAAATAGTACCTACATTAATGGCCGTTTGCACCGACTAATTTATGGAAGGCTTAACGATAAGAAGCTATTCCTTAAAGTGACATTTTCCTATGCAAAAATGTAATTTTAACCGTGATGTTGACTTATTGTTAAGGCTTCCTTAAAACAGTCGGTGCCATTGCTGTCTCGAGGTTATAACCTCTCGACCAGCAATGAAGCATTTTCCGTCTCGGATTGTAATATACTATTATTTGATGTTTTAAATTTAAAGCAGTACAGGAGTAGGAAAAACAAAATAAGTATCCTAAAACCATCTACTTTATCAGTTTTATGAACTCCAGTTCAATTTCTGAAGTTAGTACATTTTTACGTTTTCCAGTACATTTTTTGTCACTTGATCAGTAAGTACTTTAATTTTCAAGGGTCTCGCAACGCTGGTCTGAGACAGGCAAAGAAGAAAGAAATTCATATCCATCTCAGCAGGGAGATCTGAACAACTTCTTGACATGAGCAGAAGATATATTAGAACAGTCGTTAGTCTGCTCACTGGACACTGCCTATTGAAATATCACCTGATAGGCAAAGCAGACAAAGACCCCTGTAGATCTTGCGAACAAACAATAGAAACTACAGAAAATTTAATCTGTGATTGCCCTGTTCACTTCTGCAGAAGACTAAAATACCTTGAAGGGGTACGGCTAACACCCCAAGAAGTGGGCACTTTAACACCCAAGGACCGGATTCTCGTCTCAGGTAGTAGAGCTCCCCGAGAGAACAAATTTTTCGTCTTTATCATTCTCGTTTACTTTTTGATTACGTTGACAAAGACAAAACATTCGTTCTAACGGGAAGCTCTACTCGAGAATCGGGACCCAGGAAGCTGGCCTAGTTTGGGAGAATCCTACAAATCTTGGATAACAACTGGAAGAAGAGTCACGCACAGAATATCTGGAAAGGTAGCAGTGCTTGAGTGGCTGGAATAAGATGTAACGACTCCAAGTGCTCGGAAAGCCTTTTGGAAAGCCTAAGATTCTCTTTTACTTGCTCTTATTGAATCTCTTGGAAATGAATCATCGTTTATACCAATCAAAACGTAACATTACTTGAAAAATTCATTTGCCAACTATTTTCTACTTCTATGGAGGAATCTTTTTTCCAAGAAGCAGCTAACACACGACCTCCAACCAGACCTTCTTCAATTAGAGCTCATTATCAGTCGTTGGTCTGGAACAAATGCGAATACAATTTTCTAGATTTGAAACCACTTACTGAGTTCGGCTGGTTAATGTCAAGGAAATGAATGTGAAAATAATGAATCTATCAATAGCTCAAATCATGGAGCAAGTAGCCATGACGAAGAAGAAGAGACAGCCTGTATATTTCAAATGTTGTAAATAAGCGCTTTATAACAATAAATTATACGCATGCGCAGTCTATAATCTACTTTGTGGTGGTTTTATTTCTTTTTTAGTATGTTCCCTACATAAATAAAGACAAAATTGGCACAGATCTAGCAACCGTACCACTAAACAACCATATCTAAAATAATAATAATAATTGAAAATAAGGCTATGCCACTTACGTCAACTGCGCAACACTGACACATTTTATTGCGTTCCGACTGAAAACAGTTAAATCTTTGTGCATTAGAAACCCTTTAAAAAAACCGCTTGCTTGCATACCGAAAAAGCACACGGGAATACAAACCAGACCGGACTAAGTTAGGTTACTGGGTGTCAGCCATTTTATTGCTTCTCTTTTTTCATATCTACATTTAATATAAATTACCTGCCATATGTGAAAATAAAATTCCGCTTTATAAAGCAGATCGAGGTATTTTTGGCCGAATAAATTTTACATGAAAACCAGGGTCCCGTACAAAATATTTAAATTATGTAGCTCTAATATAATTTTATTGGACATTTTGATATTTTAGGTGCTTGCTTTCAGCGTTTTCGTTCTTGAATAAATATATCAACGGACGGAGCTAAATAAAATACAGATTTTCGTCCGAGAGAGTTTGGTTGTTTTCAAAGGAAGCCCAGCATAAAAATGGCGAATTCATGTATAAAATTTTACGTTCTAAGGACTGAAAATATGCGTAATATCGTCCCTGGCTAGCTGGACGATTTACTTTTGTTTACGGTCGGATGATAGTCAATGCCCCATTTTACTTTTACGAGTATATTGAAAATAAAATTCTTACACCGTGTCTTAAATGGTTTAATATTTTTTTTATTTTTAAATACATTAGTATATTACAATGATAAAAACATTCAGGACACATTTAACTTATATGCAACTTTCCTGTATTCGATTCGAAGTGGTAACCACTTCAGGCCCTCTGTATTTGTGCGTCAGCGTTTGGGATCCCGTGATCAGCACAGGATTATTCGGGCTCATCCGATTAGGCCTTTGAAGACTACGGTATATCTACGAACAGAAAAAATTAATTCTGAATGGCTAAATTAACCATAAACAAATTACTGTTTGGTTAGGTGCATGTATTTCTTTGGCAACATGTTTAAAGGCGTATCCTTCGCCTTCGTCTTCCTGATCATCATCTTCTCGACAACCAGGAGGTTCGTATTCGTATACTTTCATAAAGCCATGTAGAGGCCTCCGTTCTAGAACCATAAAAGTATTAAGTATGATTTTTTTATAATTCATCCATTTTTTACCATATTGATTACGAATAATATCAGGATCTGTAGCTTCAATAGTATTTCCATTCCGAATGGCTTCGGCTGTAATCGTGTGCTCGATTGAACTATTTGGGGTACGTACTCCAGTTATAGATCCATCAACTATAAGATCATCAGCATTAATAACAGCTTCCATCGGTACGTGTTTTGTACTGTTTGCGTCCGGCCTGAAAATTAAAAGAATGCGCTTTTTCCATTCAATTAGAAAAAATAAAATCCCTAGAAACTTTTAAAATTTGAAACCATAGCATTCGTAGAACCGTTCTCATGTTACCTGAAATAGAAGATTTTTGGAAACAACAGGCTTTAAACCTTTCACATTTTTCAATTGTAGATTTTTAATTTTAGTTTCAACTTTGTGTTGTTTTAAACTTCCGACAATATGCTTTAGTTTGTTAGTGTTTCAAATTTCCCTGAAGCAAATTAAATATATGATAAATGGAATGTTAAAAGAGAATTTGGGAGGGAGGTTTCTTTAATAAAAAAATTGCTTACCTGTGACAGGGTCTTGCATAATGCTTCCTACAAAGAGCCACCAGCACTAGACATACTATCATTGCTAAAATTCCTGCAGTCCCCAATAAGCCCATAATTAACGGACTTATCGACATACTAGCAGTCGAACCTGTAACAAATTTTTAATTTGAAAAAAAAATGCGATCATACAACAAAAAGAAATATTTATATCTATAATTTAAAAAATATCAATTGCAAAGTTTCTCAATTTATTAATTCATAGCCCAACTATTACTGCAGTGATTGGGTAATGTGTCGAGTTGTTTTTTTTTAACAATGAAACTATACTAACGTCAATGAAGTTTGATAATTAGCCATAAGTTATTTACGCACTCATAACGGATCTTCAAAAAAACACAAAATCGAAGAGGGCTTTGATTACGAAAACGTACGTCGCATTATAGTTTCTTTATGGTCAGGATATTTGACATGACATTACAAAATTGAAGAAAAATATAGCTAACACGTTTTAAAAATCATAGCCATCTATAATTTACGTTTTTTTTTGAAGACCCGTTATGTTGTATATAATGGTTTAGGATGCTATATGTATATTAGTTATGTGATAACTATATCTAAAAAATATACACTCCAGCAACAAATTTTATCAAAGAAGTGTGAGTCATGTATTTGGCAGTATCATACATATTTGCAGTAGTTGGAGGGCAAAACAATAGTTGAAAATTATTCTTTAAATGAAATTCATAACGATGAAAGAACAACGGCAGATGTTTAGGGCTGCTCCGGTGAACTGAAAGAGATGGAAAAAAAAACAATCATGCGATGCAAACTGAAAATGACGCCTGATTATTTTGGCACCATCTGTGCTAAAAATGTAAGAGTTTGCTGACAGATTAGATAAAATGTTCTACCGAATTACGACGTACGAAGCTTGTTTTCCTTAAACCGGAAGTGGTTTCTGGCTCCCATATTTCTAAATAATGTAATAGCTGATAAATATTGCGGTTTATTTAGTTATATCCGTTGTGGCGGCAGCCGAATTCCCAAAATTATCAGTAGTAATATCCCTAGGACATTGATAATGCACAAGATAATTTTATGGCAATCGAAATCACGTTACCAACAAATGTGCTTGAGTTTAATTGGTTCTTTAATTTTTTCTAAATTGAAAAAGTAGGCCATCTCAAAGTGGAGTTGAAATTTAATTCCATGAAAAACTCAAAGCTTTCCTCCACAAATACTTTGATAGGTTCAAGAAGCCCTACATGTTTCGCGATTGAAAAATCTCATCATCAGAAGCAAATTAGCTCAGATATTAAAAGGGGTGGATATCATAGGCTGCCAGATCATGCATAGAAGAATGAAGAATCTCTTCATTCTTTCACCATGAGCTTCTTGAGCGATTCGATGATTGAACTGAACTTAAGTTTTTGAATGAAATTTATTTAAAACTCAAAAAACTTTCTTCAGTTATGTACCCAATCTATTTTTAACTATTTTGGTTAATTTGATACAAAAATTTTTAACTTATTTTTGACTTTTTTTCCTCTACAAAATGCATGATCTAGCAGCCTATGATATCCACCTCTTTTAATATCTGAGCTAATTTGCCCCTGATGATGCGAGAATTCATATCTACGAATCGGAGTTTTTTATTTCGCGTTGGCGTTGTTTCTATTGGTCGATATTTTCAGGGAATGCCAAATTCGATTATTCTCGACCAATAGGAACAACCGTCCTCTTCAAGCGCAGCTCTATCTTTTTTGGATACTAGAGTCAAAAATGCGATATGGGTAAAACATGAATTGTTTAAACTATGGCGGAAACACAATATTAGCAATTTCATCGAAATATTTCCACATTCAAAGTGGTTTAAGGTTTAAGGACAATAATATGTGCGCAAAAGTATAACACCCCTCAAAAGCAGAATAATACGAAAAAATTGCAGATTTCCATTTTTTATTTTCAAAATTGAGACAAAGACCTTGCCTAATGCAAATTACGAATACGGCGAATACTTAATTGATTCTTTTTTTTTTAGTTTTATTGTCTGTGAAAATATTTACATGTGTTAAGAATTTGGTGGCACGCAGACGTTTTTAAATAAAAATGATGAAAGACTTGACCGACAAGGTAGAAATGAAACAGGTCTCGATAGCTCAGTTGGTAGAGCGTTGCACTCGATATGCGAGAATCCTGGATTCAAATCCTAGTCGAGGCAAGGAAATATTTCATCAATTTCAATTAGAAACGTCTGCATGCCACTTAATTTCAACAGTCGATTGAATGTTATACCAAGAGTCGATTTTGTCCGTAAGTTCGTTCGCAGGTTCAGATTTTCTGCCAAAAACAACTTCAAATGGAGTGTAATCATGATAAACTAGGTGTTGTATTGTAACAAAAAGCGTGAAATTTAACCCATTCATTGTAACATTGTAAATGTCACTTGTTTTCTTTTCTATAAATAATATTTATATTTTAAATTTTCTATAATTTTTCAGTTCATGTGGCAGCATCTATTGGCGGCTGAATGTATTATTTCATCGACGACCTCGAGAATGGAGTAGGCGTTTTCTTTTGTACTACCTTGATCTGTTCGACTCAGTGCTTTGTTGTTATTTGACCTCGTTAGTAGTTATCGAACCTAGTGATTTTTACATAGTTGAGGGTCGATAGGTTGACAGTGTTTTTTCTTCAGTACTGTCAAATGAAGTCTATTTATTCTCCAAGAGAAAATTGAAAAGTCCCTTTTCTTTTCTGGCCGTTGCCCTGAGAGCTTGACCCTCAATTGTGGCTTCGGGGGCCAGTCATTTTTCGAAATTAATTACCGTTCTCATGGAAAAAGTATCTTATTATACGAAATAACGTTGCCTAAGACAATAGTACATTGATTGCCGAGAAAATTTGAGTGGAAAGTCTTGTGATTGCCGGTTTATTCAAGTTTGAATTTCGAAACCCACGTGATAAGTTTCTTTAATTTTTTTAAGTGATTGTTGTTCATGGAATGCCTCTATTATCTAGGGTTTTTCCGATGGCCTAATTTTGCCTATTTCTACCGTGGGCCTACTTTGACCTTCATCTTCCGAGAAGCTGTTTTTCTCAAGAGTTCCTTTTCTACAAGCCCCATCTCTGGGCATAGAGCTCCTGAGTCCTGCACGTGTCGATCCCTGAACCTCTACCTTTGACGAAGAAAACTGAACTTCTAGTCTCTATATTCCAGGCTAGAATCTGCGATTTCCAGTGACCAAGGACTGGATGGATACCGGCTACCGTAATCTGCCTTTCGGTTGGAATTGAGGCTTGTATAATGTTTCAATTATAATTTTAACTACCTTTTTTCTATGAAATCCATTTTATTATCAATTTACATAACTAATTGATTGCCTTTTTACCTACATTACCTTTAGATTTCTGAAAGTTTCAATTGTTATTCTTGACAGTTTAGTGAACTTTAAATACTTTTTTTTGATTTTTATTTTGCCGTACTTACTATAGATTATTTCATTCATTATAAAATGGACCAATCAGACAACGTCATTTTTTGAATAAATTTTGTTTAAATAAGTGATTATTTCACAAGACCTGTTTATCAGCGATTAAATTTTTGTTTACCTTTTTTGACAGAATTTTGATAGAAATATTCTGACATTTTATAATAAAAAATAGAACTTTTTGTTTGTGGCTTCAATCCTAATAATTATTCAGGAAATAATCTAGCCGTATATCACTCGACCTAGAAATTTAAATGGATTAAACTATCCAAATATTTTTCGCACAACCTTGCTTTTTGGCAAATAGTTTCATGCACAATAACTTTTAAATAAAAGCCCTCGACCGCTTCGCGGTCTCGAGCTTTTATTAAGTTATTGTGCATTCAACTATTTTCCAAGCAAAATCATGCTCAAAATATGTTGCATAGTTTAATCGATTAAATTTGAAGGTCTTGTGATATAATATATGATTATTTCATTCATTAAAAAATAGATCCATCAGACAACGTCATTTTTTGAATGAATTTTGTTTAAATAAGTGATTATTTCACAAGACCTTGTTTATCAGCGATTAAATTTTTGTTTACCTTTTTTGACAGAATTTTGATAGAAATTTTCTGACATTTTATAATAAATAGAACTCTTTGGATAGGATTGACGCCAGCAATTCAATCCTAATTATTCAGGAAATAATCTAGCCGTATACCACTCGACCTATAAATTTAAATGGATTAAACTATCCAAATATTTTTTGCATAATTTTGCTTTTTGGCAAATAGTTTCATGCACAATAACTTTTAAATAAAAACCCTCGACCGCTTTGTGCATTCAACAATTTTCCAAGCAAAATCATGTCAAAATATGTTGCATAGTTTAATCGATTAAATTTAAAGGTCTTGTGATATAATATATGATTATTTTTCAATTAACTTTTAGTACCGTTATATTTAAATATTATCTTACATTTTATATTTTCCTATTAATCATAATCATTTATCTGAACTGAGGTCAAGGTTGGATACTGTGTTCTAAATTTGAAATTGTTGTGTAAGTGCATATAGCGTCGAAAATTGATCAATTTTTCACCTTGGGTCCTGCGACTTATATTTTGAGAATTTCTATCTAATCTCAAGACCATTTAATCCTTATATAGCCAGCCCAACTTTTAATTTCTTTCAGGTACAAATTGATTTTATTGAATTTTTTTTTTGTTTTTTTGAAACCTATATGATACACACTATACTAGGTATATTGAGGTTTATTTTATTATTATTATTTTTTTAATTTTGAATTTGGTAAAACTGCAGATTGAAGTTGACCTCTATTGGTTGATTTTATTTAAATTGTTTATCAGTAATTGTGAAATACTTTGAAATTGTTTGGTTTTTGATTTTCACCCCACTGTGAAATATATACTATTTTAATTTGAAACTTACTTAATTGTTTTATTGGTTTACCTAGGTCAAGGTTTGTTGAGTCGTGGGCCTTATTTATTTCTTTTTCAGGATTATTAATTATTGTTTGCTAATTATTTTCTAGGTGTGTTTCTGAATTTTCACACTTCCATATTTTATGCAATTTTATAATTTTTTTTTTAAATTCAGTGGCGCCCTGGCCATACTGTACTTATTAAAAACTATCAACTTACACTTAATTA